AGCAGCGCCTGCTTGTACTTGGTCTGGTAGGTGCAGTACTGGCACTGGAAGATGGGCACTTGGTAGTTCTGTGAGTGCTTCGCCTGCATGTGCTTCTGCAGCTCGTACTTGCGCTTACAAGCGAAGCCGCACACTTCGCAGATCAGACTTTTGCCCTGGTGCCGCAGCTTGTGGCTGCTCAGCTGGTCGGCACGGTGGCAACGGTAGGAGCACTGGTTGCACTGGTACCTGTGGGGAAAGCAGAACTGGTCAGGAAGCGCGAGGTACCAGGGCAGGCTGAGCCCTGTCAGACACGCTGATCTTTGCTTCCCCGTCCTGGACTCCTAGGGAAGGGGTACTGTTCGGTTTGCAGGATCTGACCCTTGCCATCTGGGCAGCTCTTACCACAAGCAATTCCTCCCTGCTGCAGTGCTTGGCACTGCTGGTGCTTTACACCCCCAGACCAGGGACGGGAGGTAGATTCCCTGGATATCCCACACAGTGACTGCGTCACCCCCACACACACGCATCACACCAGCGGCACCTCCAGCATCCCCGGAGGCAGACTAGACCTGAAGGAGGTGATAACAGAGAGGTAGAAACACGTTTTGGCAGTCCTGCACGTGCTCAAGCTGGCCTTGGCCCATGAACATCAGTAGAGCCCAAGAACCCAAGCTCAGGGCTGCACTGATGTGGTCATACACCTCCTTGGCGGTGCGGAGACACCAAAGATAGCTTTGCCTCCACAGCACCATGCTGGCAACAACCTGCAAGCTCAAAGACTGCATTTCTTACGTGCCAGACAGAGCAGGCTGTAGCCATCTCCGAGGCATGAGCCCAGAGCAGCAAGACCCCCAGAGCAGGACTTGGGGAGCCCGGACTACGCTGCCGGGTCAGCGCGGCTGGGAGTCGTACCGCAGATCTCCGGTGTGCTTGCGCATGTGGACGTTCAGGTAGTGCTTCCACTTGGTGATGTACCCGCACTCGGTGCACATGAAGTTCTTGTCGTTGGAGTGGGTCAGCATGTGCTTGGACAGGTAGCTCACATCCCGGCACGTGAAGTCGCAGAGCTCACACTTGTGAGGTTTCTCTCCTGCAGGCAACACAGGAACACCCTCAGCACGACAGATAAGGCAGTACGGGTGGCCTTCCCCCATGGGGAAACCAGCTCAGCAGGAGCTGGGGGTAACAGCAGGGGCATGCCACGACTTCAGCCAAGCGACGCTAGGATGGCAGAGCCCGTGATGGGACCCAGGAGCCCTGACCCACCCCCATCCCAGCTGGGCTCTCAGGACCCCCGCGGCGGACACCCACCGGTGTGCAGCAGCATGTGCCGGATGAGCACCCTCTTGTGCGCGGTGGCAAAGGCGCACTCGGTGCACTTGTGGATCTTCTCGTTGGCGTGCATCTTGCCCACATGGTCATGAAACTCCACGGGGTTGAAAGTGGCATAGGGGCAGAAGCTGCACTGGAGCTGCTCGCTGCCCGGGTGTCCCTGCTTCTTGTGCTTGCGGAAAACATGCTTGTTGGAGCAGATGAAGTCGCACTGCTGGCAGTGGAAGGCGTAGTGGGTTTTTCGGTGAGCCTCCATGGCCTCGGCCGTGCCAAAGAGCAGCGAGCAGGCGTGGTACTTGCACTCCACTGCCTTGATGCCGTGAGCATCCTTGAGGTGACGGACAAACTCCTTCCGGTCCTCCGCACAGTAGTTGCAACCCCCCTGGAAGCAGCTCAGCCTCTTGGGCTCGGCTTTGTGAGTCTTCAAGTGCTCTTTGAGGGCCTGGCTGAGCCGAAACTTCTCCTCGCAGACGGGGCAGGAGTAAACATCGGAGTAGAAGTTAGAGATGTCCTCGTGCATGCTGGCCATGTGGCGGTTGAGGGCATTCTTCTCCACTGAGCTGTAGTGGCAGAGCGGGCAGCGGTGGGCCTTCTCGCCCGTCTCCCGCATCATGTGGATTTTCAGCTTGCTTTTGCTGGTGAAGTACTTGTGGCAGTTGGGGCACTGCAGGCTGGGGTCAGGGAAGTGCAAGTGGAGGTGCTCCACCAGGTGCGTCCGCTTCTTGAAGCATCGCTTGCATTCGGGGCACATGTGGGTTTTGTAGAGGTACTCGGAGCCCTCTGCGACGTCCCCTGTGAGAGCAGAGGAGGGGGAGCCGTCATCAGGGACGAGACAGAGAAGAGCACAGGCAGATGTTCTCTCCCTGATCCAGCTGTGCCGGGGTGAGGGCTTATCACGTATGCGGTCACACAGCAGCTGTTTACTTGAAGGGACTGTCCCCACCCCAAGCCACCGGCACGGTTCAGGTGGGCTCTCTCCAGCTCAGCACTGGCAGAGATGATCCAGTGCAGCCTGAATCAGGCCTGCCCGCCTGCTCCCACTCCCCAAAGGCCGGCAGATTTTTGCCTGCTTTTGCCTGAGCCTGGCAGCAGCTGAGGACAGGCAGCAGCAGCAGGAGGGATGTGTTTGCTTGGGCAGAGGGCAGGGGAGGGGGGAACAGTGCACTGGTACATGCAGGAGTCGGGAAGCTGCTGGACGGCACAGGACCACCACATCCCACCAGCCTGGTCCACGTTTCACCCCCAGTCTTGAGGCCATGCTGCTTGTTCATAATACAAAGCCCGAGCAGCTCCCAGGATGGACCTGCAGTGCCCCGCATCCTACCTTTGAAGGGCTGTGCCCGCGGCACTCTGGCTTTCTTGGGAGCTGCCTTCCCGTCCTCTTTGGCCTCGCCTTCGCAGGGGCTCTCGCCATCCTCCTCGGGTGACTCGTCCCCGCCGCTGTCCAACTCCTCTTCTCCAGCTGACACCTTCTGCCCCTCCAAGGAGCCCTCCCTGGTGCCTGCGGGCTTTGCCAGCCTGGCTTCCGCTGTGGTGGCTTCCCAGCCAGGGTGGCAATTCCCTGCCTCCTCCTGCCCTTCTGCTGCTGCTTCAGTGGGGAAAGACAGAGACCATCACGCTCCAGACAAGAGGGAGCCACCCCCCGTCACCCACACACATGCAGATAACCTCCTGGCTGAGATGGGGGGCACAGACTATGCCGTGGGGAGGAAGGAAAGCTGCAGAGAGCCACCGGAGCGCAGGGCGCTCTGGCTCTCCAGCGGCACAGCCTCACCCCCCACTCCTCCCAGTTGTAACTGGGACATTGCCAGCCTCTGCAGCACCCATGGGCCCTGACCCCCCCCCCAGCCATACCCCCCCCCCCCCCCGGGGCCCCCCCCCCCCCCCCCAGCCATACCCGACGGCAGGACGCAGCGCTGCTCGAGGCCGTGGGGGGTTGAGCCGGGTGGTCCGCCTGTCGCGGGCGTCTCTGCAGGGGGATCCGCAGCGTGGCCCTTCCTGTGCTGCCAGAAGAGCTTGGCATTGGCTGTGACAAAGTCGCAGCGGCTGCAGTGGAAGGGAAAGTGGGTGCGGTGGTGCCGCTCCATGGCCGGACGGCTGGGGAAGAGCAGGGGGCAGGCACGGTAGGCGCAGGACACGGGGGAGGCCCCGTGCAGGCGGCGCAGGTGGCCACGCAGTTGCTTGCGGTCCTCCGTGGCAAAGCGGCAGCCCTTCTCGGGGCAGGACAGGGCTCCTGGCAGGGCGCGGTGGGTCTTGAAGTGCTCCTTGAGTTCGCCGGGCTGTGCAAACGCCTCGTGGCAGACGGGGCACAGCAGGCGCTCGGGAGCAGAGCCCTGCTGTGCACCAGCTCCGGGTGGCTCCGAGCCCTCTGGCTCACTCTGGCCCTCGCTGGCAGAAGCCGACAGCGCCCCAGGGAGCTCCAGGTGCCCTGGGGGGGCCAGCAGCAGGCACTGGTGCTGGGACAGCAGGGAGGCCTCTGGGAAGCTCTGGCCGCACCTCTCGCAGAAATACAGCTCCACCACCTTGACCAGCACCTCTGCAAACAGCAAGAGGCGAGCGTTAGAAAGGGCTTTCGCCAGGCCCAGAGCTTAGGACTGGCGGTTCAGTTCCAGCTCCAGACAAGGAGGATAAACCCCTGCTGCCACAGATTACAGTCTGGAGAATCACAGCCCTCCCCCTGCCCGGGCTATCCCAGGATGGATGCTCCCATCAGAGGGGGGACACCATCACCCAGGTGACCACGATGACCAGGTCCGTCCCTTAGCACCTTCAAGGCACCCAGCAGAGCGAGGCTGGCTCAGCCCTGTTTCTAGCAGGATGCCCCTACACTGGACCCGGGTGAGAAGTGCGCTGGGGGCGGCAGCAGTCTCCGAGGTGGAGATCTCCGCCTGGTCCCCACTGACAGGTTGGAGTGACCCCCTCACCTGGTCCGAGGCTCCCACAGCCACCCCTCCCCACCTGCACATGCAGCTCATGCCTGGTCTGCGCTGAATGGTGGCACTAGACTCATGACACACGAGGGGTCAGAGACACGAGGGCACCGTGGTGTCTCCAGGGTGCCAGCTGGAGGGGACAGGACCCCCAGCTGGACCCCTCTCCCTCTGCTGAGGGCCAAGGGGCCTAGGCTGCCCTCCCTGCACCCTGTACCTGTGGCATTGGCCGTGTTGCTCAGCGTCACGTTGCCGGCCACAGCTTCGATGAATATTTCCACATTGCCTCCTTCAGCGTGAGCCCCTTCCCCAGGCATTGACGCCTCTGCCAGCAGCAAGTCCCGGCTGGCTGTCAGCGGGGGTGCCACAGCCAGGCTGGTGCTGGCCACACCAGGGCTTCCCACAGCTCCTGCCTCTCCCGGTGTAGGCAGGAGCAGCTCCGAGCACAGGGCCTCCATCTCCCCGCCGGCAGCCTCAGACACAGCCACTTCTGCACTCATTGCCACCAGGCACTGGCTTGATGCCGGGCAGGAGGGCCTCTCGTTCTGAAACAGAAGAAAGTGCTTTAAACGAGGGAGAACCCAGAAGCCCAGGGGTCCTGCAGGATTTTGAGGGGCAGCCTGCAGTGCCAGTCCTCAGGGAGGGATATGAACCAGGGTACCCCAACGCTGGCTCCCTTCAGCCCTGCCCCAAGCGAGCTGCTGGTGAAACCCACTGCCACGGGGGAGATGGGCTGCAAGGACCCCTGTACCCTCCCCAAAGACGCCTGGGGACCTCTCCCTGAGCTCAACAGCCAGGGCCTGCTCCCCGGGCCCAGGTGGGCCCAGACCCAGGCCTAGCCCCCAGACCCGAGCTCAGGTGGGCCCGAGCCTGAGCCCACCCCCCAGATCCGGGCCCAGCCCCCAGCCGGGAGGTGCTCACCGCGAGTCCCCGCACGGCCAGGGCCGCCCCACCCCCCTGTCCCCGCCACC